GGGCCGCGACGGGCCGTCTCGGGGGCAGCTCCGGAGCCGCTCGGCTCGGGGGGACGCGCGCTGCGGCTTGACAGGGCGGCGTGTAACTTTCAGGGCTTGTGAAATCGACACCAACTTGAGGTCTGCGGGAGGCAGAGCTAACTGAAGGCTTGGTGAACTGCTGTTCCCTGGCGGGGCCTAGCGAGGAGCGTTGAAAGTAGTAAACGTGACTTTCACGGGTGGGTGAGAGCGCCCAACACGGCCATATGGGGGCCCGGCTACTTTCTGTCGGCTGGGGTGTGTATGCCAGTGTGGGCGACTTCTTAAATTCTTAAAGGCAAGCGATAGGAGAAGCCTCGACTCCTTGGCCTCTCTTGAGTAGAAGATTGTAGAAGCCAGCACTGGCCAAGAATTTAAATATGGTGATAGTATCTCGGTTGGCTTTATAAATATTTTCAGCATATACAAATGTGTATTTTTAACTGGCTAATCTTCATCCTAATGCTTTGGATTTTTATTTCTCGTATACCTTAAGTAGAGGCAGGTGTCTGTTGAAATTAGCTATGTTAGCAGGATCTTGATATTTATGGGTGACGTTCATTAAACATTTTTTTTTTTTGCCTCTTTTAGTTGCTTTGTAGCAGTTTGTTGCTACTTAAAGCTAGCTCTGGTGATACTGAAATTATGTATCTGTGATATAAATACTTTTTTCTTAATGTTTTCACCATTAGAAAGTATAAGATAATTGGAACTCTGCTTTAAGAAAAGCCAACATTAGGTTTATTTCCCTAATTATATGATGTATATAAAACATAAAAACTGATACTGTAATGCTTTTTTTTTTTTTTTTTTTAACCCTTTTGGATTTTAAAGATAAAAATGCCTGTCAGACTAACTCCCTTACCTGAGGCTTCAAGTTCACCCCAGCTTATTTTTCTTTCTACTTTCCCAGGACCATATGCCTTTATTTTCTGTTCCCTACCCTCGCCTTCAGTCTTTTCTTTTCCCCTGGCTCATCTCATGATTTCTGGGAGCTCGAACAGTACTCTCAGATCTTAAGAATGTCACTTGAAGCCCTTGCCTTTATTTAGCGAGCTAACTAGTTCTTTCTTTTCTGATGGCCATGTTCCTTGAGTAATTCTTGCTTGCTTCCCTTCCTTTAATTTTCTTTTGCCTTTGATCCTTAAAAACAAAAAACCATTCCTTGATTTTATTTATTTATGTTTATTGATTTTGGGGAGAGGAATGGAGAGGGGGAGAGAGAGAAACATCAATGATGAGAGTCATTGACCCAGCTGCCTCCTGCACGCCCCCTGCTGGGGATCCAGCCCACAACCCGGGCATGTGCTGGGACCGGGAATCGAACCGTGATCTCCTGGTTCATTGTTGGATCAACCGCTGAGCCATGCCAGCCCTGCACCATTTCTTGATATTAGTAATACTGTACTTTTCTGGTCTTTTTTCCTACCTGTTTGTCCTATCTGCCCACTCATTTAGTCAATGCCTTTCTCTTCTATTCTGTCCCCTCAGTTATCACTTTTGTCTGGTGTTTGTCATCCCCTCTTGATCTTTTTAAGCAGGAGTAGAATCATATAGTGCTAAAGCTGAGAGAGAGCACAGTGATCATCTAGTAACTTATACCCCTTCACTTTACAGATGAGAAAATTAGGGCCAGAGGATTGAGAATGACTTGCTCAGGGTCACATAATGAATTAATGACAGAGCTAGGACTAGAACCGACAATCCTCTTGATTATACTCTATTTTACAGGTCCCTCCAAGTAACAACAAGGCTCTCTGTAAGAACAGTTTGTAATTCTCTATGTATAGTTACTTTGTGAAAAGAAATTATAAAATTTAAAAATTTATTTCATCCGACTAATGGTTTAATATCAACAATTTGGAGATTTTTTGTTTTTGTTTGCTTTGAGGACCTTTGTATAGGGAACCTCTAACCCCTACTAGATAGACTTATTTATTTATTTATTTTTAAATATATCTTTATTGATTTCAGAGAGAGGAAAGGAGAGGGAGAGAGAGAGAGAGAAACATCGATGAGAGAGTCATTGATTGGCTGCCTCCCCAACTGGGGATCAAGCCCCCAACCTTTGCATGTGCCCTGACTGGGAATCGAATCCCGATCACCTGGATCCTAGGTCTAGCTCAACCGCTGAGCTATACCCGGCCGGGCCCTACTAGATTTAGATTTTGGATAGGTGTGTCCATTCATGCATGTTGAATGAGTAATATATTATTCTGGTCACTGAAGCTCAAGGACACATGTATGTTAGAGGGCTACTGAAGAAGACAGCTTAGTTAGTATAGGACAGGGCTTGACAAACTATAGCCTGTGAGCCAAATCCAGCTCACAGTCTGTTTTTGTATGGCACATGAGTTAAGAATTATTCTTACATTTTCAGATTGTTGAAAAAAATCAAAATAATACTGTGACACATAGAAATATATGTAATTCAAATTTTAGTATTAGTAATTAAGTTTTTTTGGATGCAGCCATGTACCTCCCTTACCCCCATTTATTTACCATTGTCTGTGGCTACAGCAGAGTTGAGTAGTTGTTGCAATTGCTGTATGCAGGATACATTTGAAACTACTTAGCTTGATATTCAAGGCCTAGTACAGTTTGATTCTGGCCACAACCTGCCCTTTCAGCTTAGCTCTTCTCCCATGAAACAAGTTTTTAATGCAGCCAAACAGGTTTCTAACTTGCTTTTCACTTCTCTTTCTGCTATTCTCTCTTTCCTACTTCTCTCTACCTGTTCAGAAGCTTCATACATATTTTTCCTCAAAAGTACCTCATATTCTATTTATTCTAAAAAGCCCTTTCTGAGCATTTTAAGCTTAGGGATTTCTTCTTAGAAGACCTTTATATATATACTGAATTCACTTGGCAATTAACAAATAGTGCTTTGTGACATCTGTTAATGGTCTCAAACTGTAATATACATTTTATATGTTATGTTATTAATTTCTTGGCAGCAGAGATCTTTGTATGTTTCTTTCTGTTGTTTTGTATATATTATAGGTCTAGGACAGTGTCCTTCTGGGAGCAGATATTCAGTAATATTCATTGATGTGGTTACAGGGTTGTATGGAAACTTAGAATTCTAATTGATTACCCCCTGCTTGGATGTTTTCCACAGAATCCTTGGCAAGCTGTTTTCCAGCCTTTGCTTGAACATCTTCATGATTAATCTCTCATAATATCTTTGGCTTAGAAGAGATCTATTAAGTTTTTGAGTTGAGAGAAGTCTAGATCTCTATTGTGGCCATCTTTTGATAGTTGCCTCTGAACAATAGAGAAACCTTGAATCATTTTCCACAGGTTGTCTTTTTCCCGTTAAAGAAGGTGGAGGATGAGAGCAGGAGGCAAACCCTGTGTGTTCTACATACAGTCTGAGCATCTCAATTCTTGAACTGTTTCTGGTTCTCAGTTTCTCTTTTT